GTTCACTGATTCCGATTTTCTAGTTCATGCTTGTTTTAGAGAGCTTGCTTGCTAGCTTGTTTATCCGTGCAATCCAATCTACAGCTTGTAGCTAATTATAATTTCCAATGGTTGTGCATACATATATTTGAAATTGTAATCTTCAATAAGATTAATCGTCTACGTCTGTGAATCCATTATTATCACTATAAACTTGAGACTGGAGTATCATTGCTTTCCATTGGTTATCCATATTTATCACATAAGAAGAAATTAATAACCAATTCGTCGTTTCTGAACATTTTTTAAATATTCAAAGTCATTAATCGTTACAAAACTTCTTGTCACCACAATAAATATTACGCCAATGTTTATATTCTCTTATAGTAGTTAAGATTATTTCAATTTTATACAGTAGGTATCATACAAGCATAACTGTAAATTGTTGCATGCACATAATTGTGTAGCACTCTAAAGCACCGGGAACGCAGCTCAAAGAAGCTACGTACCTACAATAAAGGCTCGGCGAGTACAATACCTATCTCGCGAATAGGCAACGCGTAGGTGGAAACAAAGCCCGCATTTTCAGTGCTTAACGTCGAAAAAAATTCAAAGGATTAAGGACTGCCTCGGGTAGCATTAGATTGAAATAGTAACCGAATCCGATTATGGTCTCGAGAAGGAGCTCGATTCGGAGTACAAGTGGAAGAAAATTTACACGCGACAGATACGGAGATTGGGAGACCTTTCAAATCTCGATGAAAGACGAGACCCGGCTGAACAATAGGTAAATGCACTTCCGCGAAACGTGCGATACTAAACCTTTACCGAGCTACGCAACTCGCTGAATCGGGAATCGTGATACAACCAGCGCAACGAAGCAAAGTGGAAATGGAAAAGCTTGAAGGTGCAAGCTATACCTACTAGATACTCTCGATCGAGTCGTTCGGAAACTTTTCCTCTAGTCGAAAAAGAAGGTAAACGGCTATTCCGATGGACGGAAACTTCGTATGTGACATGCTGAGAACATGTTCCTCTTCCTCGGCTGTCACGTTTTTGCTACAATAGTTCCGGTCAAGGGAACCGAATGGATTATGTGTATATAACAAACGCAGTGTCCCAGTTAACAGAGAACAAGAAAAATCAATATCATAGTGCTTTATGGTAATGGAAGCTAGAGAGTGATTTTTAATAACACAGGATTGTGTAAAATACGGATATATCAAAGCACTGAGAATTAAAGTTGTACATGCGATTTTTAAAGAAAATAAAGGGAGGAATTACGTACTTTTGCTTCTCCTCTGAATGACAGTAAATTATGAACGCGTAGTTTATTGTTCCTTCATAAAGCATGCATAGAGGCGTGTATCCCTGCGGCGCACGACCTCATTTTTAATAATTAAACAAACAGCACATCCTACGAAATGGCTCGGTAGAACCAACACGCACCCGTGAGCGCGATGTGGAACTTAATAATACAATCCACTCACAAACTCAGTAACAAAGATGGTCTAATGGAACAGGAAAAGAATTTCAAAAGTAGATCACAAGGGATAAAATTATCGGTCAGAAGTTTTGAAACATTTGAGATAAGAACGTAGGACTAATATCGCATCGAATATGAACGGAAATACCTGATTATAAATAGCAATGTAAGAGAATAATTTTCGCTTATCGCACATTTAGTGGCAATGGTCAAATTATTTTCACCGTCAAAGATATCAGTGACTTGGTAAAAATCTGTTTCGACGGCGCGTCGATTCACTTCCCTAACAGCTAGCGATAAGAATTCGTATGTTATTTTCTCGGTATCCGTGCAATTTATCTTTTATAAAATATCAACCCTGTTATTACGGCGAGATGCGATCTTAACGATACTGTTAGCGTTCTCTAGTCAACCGATAACGTTGCAACGAATGAGACTAAGGTTTGCGAGCAACATTCCAACAGTGGCGAAAGAAAGTGTACGGTTCCGCCGCTCGGTACCCTTCAGTTTAGACTTCGCGCTATTTCTCTCTCTCTCCCACGTTCGCCCCTTTTTTGCAATTCAACTCCATTTCCGCTAGCTTCGTCCAACCCCGAGTCGAGGAACCCGGAGGCATCGAGCAAGCCGCGCCATGGGGAGCGATTTATGGAGATGGTTGTAACTTTTCAAACTCCATCGAGCGACTTTGCTACACCGGCCAATCACGATTTCCGCGATCGCGCCAATTATAATAAGAATTTACGAGCGATCCGACCGTCCGCCTACCGATAAAACGACAAGTCCAACGGAGCGCTGGAAATCTCCATTCCGATTCTTCATTTACCCATCTCGGTTTCGTGATCCTTACGTCTCGCTTTCGCGGGATCTCCGATGGATTTATGAGGGTAATTACGCGCATCCATCGCCGGTTATTCGTCGCTTCTCCGCGAACCGTGCAGCGGCCTCACTACTCTCCTCCCAGCCAGAGTTCTACCCTTTTATTTTCATTATTCTTATCCCGATTTCATTCGCGGCATTTCCCCGGCGAGTTTGTCCGAGTTTTTCGCCCGATTCCCAGGAAGTGTTTGACCGACTTGGTTGGATTGCGAGCACCGTCCCGGCTCGCATCTACACTACTCGAACACAAGCTTGGATCGACGTAAGTACTAAGTACGCTAGTCCGATTCACAGGAAAATGGACGCGAAAATCGGTTCCGAGGGGGTTCTGTTTCTCGCGAATGGAGCTGTTCATCTTGCACGATGGTGCATTGAGCACTCGGTTAATCTATTTTTCTCGTGGAACGAAATGGAAGTTGAACCCGCGCGAAACTAAATATATAGCCACTTATTCTTTAGTAACAATACTTAGTTAAGCTGATAGCCGCAATTAATTAACCGATCAAGTAAAGAACGAACGGACTCAGATATATTTAGAATCATTTATAAACGAAACAGCAGATTTACATTATGTCCGATTGTAAGTAATTATGTTCAATTTGTAAAGCTTTATATTCAATTCTCATTTCCCACGAAGAAAATTAAAGAACATATTTAAACCGACTAATATATACTAAATAGCATTCTCCATCTTAGCCATCTGAATGTTCTTATGTAATCCATTTCACAAATCTCATTTAAACTCGTTTCGAAAACATTAAATAATCACTAGACAACGATTTCATGCAATTATAAGAAAGTATAATGAGCAAAAATTACAAATGTTGTATGTTATTTGTGCGTCTTGGACCTTACTGCTGCTACGGGTGACCATGAATAAATCCGAAATTAAAAAACAGTTACACTACCTGAAATGTTTATCTAAAACACATCTCTTAAAATGATATACAGATTTTATCTTGTATAAAAATTCACAGTCTAATAAACATTATCATTGAGTCATTAATATGTAAAAAGAATCCTTATCCTATAATCCGATGAAGTAAAAATTATTTATAACAAGCACTTGATTAATAAGCTAAACACGGACTCCCACTTCCTTTTAACAGCTCGGATCCGCTATACAACATTAAATATGATCCAACTATGGCTTCAAGGAGAATTCACTGCCTTTCATTTCAAGTCACTTAAACGTGGTTCCTCTATGATCTTAGCGCAACACTGAGTATACTTGAGTAATCATTATGCGTCAGCACTCTAATGAGCTAACACATCAGGAATTAATGTACGATAAATAAATTACGTTCAGAATAAAATTATAATGGTATTCGAATTACTTCATTATGAGGATACGGAAAAACATGTAGCAAACATGTTGCGCACAACATTTTATATAAGAGTATCGTATTACAATTACGCTTTTGGATAATCCTTGAACACGATTTCCAGCAAATTGTAAAAAAGAAAAGTAATTTAACAGAGAAGCGAATTTAATGCATACCTACGAAATATATATATACTTAAATGTATAAATATATTTGGATACTGTCCAAAACGAAGCCATTTTTAACAATGGAAATGTAATAAAGGAATAAATGTATGTATCACAGGTGTAAGCGTTGTAGGTATAAATTCATTACAGCAATTGTATTAATTATTGTAGACAGGTGGACTTGGATTTCTACGAGGAAGAGACAAGAGACGCAGCCGTCATGAGAGTACTATACTTAATTGGGAAGAACGTATTTCACAGCACAACATGTTTACGACTTCCATCAGGAATAACAATTTTATAATAATTAATTTAACGATCGACACGAGTTGGAAATGTTGAAATAGGAAACAATGAAATCAGTTTGAAAATCTACGAATTCACATTTTACCCATAAAGATTTCTGCCAGGAAGTATCAGTCTGCCGTTTTAAAAAGTGTGCCACTATTTTTTTCAGCCACTGTATTATCAATAAGTTTGAAGTCACGTATAAAATTATCCTCATGACATAACAAGGACATACAGAACTCAAGTGTTTAAATCATCGATTGTATCGGTGATGTTCGAATCAATCTATTACATTATAAAACTTAAAATAGTAGTTCCGTGTAATGGCTTGTCTCAACAAGTAAAAATGCATGATTATACTACGCTTGTATCATCACATTAGACGTTTTCCTATTAATAACGTAGCCAAAGCAAGTCTTATATCTCTAAGTATAAGTCTATGTGAAAAACTCGATTTACGACCTTATTAAAATAATTTTGTACACAACTAGTGGCTAGTTACTTGATTAATTGAAGCTGATGTCGCCTTTCTCCCATTTAGTTAACATGATGACAGATCAGTTCGTTTTAGCACTTACGTTTCTATACAATATTTTTTTTAACTTCTCTGCGCGTGTCTAACATAAGTTGAAGCACACGTCGACGGCTCTATTCCACGCTCAATCACCGCAAACGTGACATTAGCTTACTCGTAACACGATAACAACGTGACTTAAGGCTTTCATTGTGCACGGAACAATTAACCATAGATCAACACGATAACGACTTCCGACAATGAAAAATCATATTTGTATTATGTAGTACCATTTGATACTATTGCCTACTCACATTATCGCGTATACAAAAGAGAGAAACAGGACTGAGAATGAAAGCACTTACCAAAAAAGCGCGTCGGTACAACTGGCTGGCCCAACAGTAGTAGTAAAGCAATCACCAGCATGTTGACACAAACGACTCGACCCTTAAGAGACAGCACCAATTATATCGTCTTGACATTAGATACACACCGTAACGCGTAGCTCTCAGTCGTCGCGACACAAACACCAATAACGCATTGCACGCGTCTTATTATCAAACGTGGTCCAAAACACTTTCGTTAAACAAAACATACGTTGTATACATTACGTGATTCATGAACGCGTGCGAGAGTCACACTTCGACGAACGTTTGCGAATCCGTGAATATCGAATCAGATACCAAACTGGTCCGTCTCCACATAGTACGCATATTAAGCTCACAACGAGTATGACCGTTTTTTAGGCATCGAATAATTCACACTTCGTTCGGTCCAGCGACCTTGGGCAGCGCAAGGATATCCTGTGTAACAAAGATAGTTAATTTATTGAGGCGATCGGTTTTAGCGGAACAAAACTGCAAGCGTCATCACGCGAACACGCGAACGTTGAGAATAACAATTTTTCTAACCTAACAATCTCCGACTGTAAGCACTGATCACGTGTCCGGCGAGCGTACGTCGTTTCACTGGCGCAGGTAGGAGATGCTATCCATCGTCACTCGTGTTGTCAATTGCACCTGTAAACGACCAACACACGTATGAACGAATAACGTTCCTCCCCGTTTTGTTATGCACGATCGTACAGCTGAACGTGCGGGTATATATATTTTGCACTCGGAGGAGAATCTACGTGTCGAAATTCCGCGATGACAACACTCCACTGATTGTGAAAATGATCGATAAGGTCGATGGTTGTCAAGACTCGGTTACGAATTATCGCACTTTCGTTTTACGTTTCGACGATCGACACACGAAGCGCATAGACGGTTCGTGAGAAGGATCGGAGAAAAGACGTCAAGGACGAAGGGAGATTACACCACATACGTTCGGTTCGACGTTCGGCGCGCGACTAACGCCCGGAACGATTTCAAACTGGGCGAAGCGTGACGTCAGAGGTGTACGCACCCGCGCCGAGATCCGGCAGCCAATCAGGAGCCGCGTGGCGCTCCGACGATTCTCGCTCGTCTTGGGAAGCCGCACGCTCTTCGACAAGGATCATGACCTCGTAAATCTTGACCATCGGAGGACGAAACGACACGGCTGATAACGAGTTTTACTGCATTCGGGATTGCACTTCTAGCCCTTTGTACTCTGAAAAAGGAGGATGGTACAAAGTGGTTAAAAGTGAGGTAGCATTAGCACTTATTTCTTGTTAGCGTCTTTCTATAGATTTCAAGGAACTAATACATAGAATTTTTCAAGTGATAAGGATGAAAAAGTTATGAAAAATTGCAAACGAAGTGGGTCGAGATATTGAAATTCGCTGACTTTAAATAAATAAGAATCTTCAAATGAAAATGTAAAAATCCAGTCATTTCGTAACTAAAAATCGATATTTATATTATACGTACAAAATAAGTGTGAAAAATATAGATTGAAAACTATAAAAATCAATAACTTCAGGAAGCTAATTACTACGTATTTACTTGAACAATTGTTTTTAATTATACTATAATTTACTTGTATAACAAAATAAAAGTTCTTTAATGCACAGAATAACTGTTATAGTTTGTTTTCTTTATTTTACTCATTTTTTGCTCATATTAATTTCTCTACTAAGAAAAAAAACTATAATATAAAACTATAAATACGGTTTCCAAATGCATAAGAGGAATAATAGTCTTCGAACAGTGTTTTTATTTTACAATAAAAAATACATATTTCAAGCAAACAGTAGAGGAAAGAACCAAAATAGTTACAAGAGAAAAGCATAATAATGTTATGTATGTTGTTATGTAAACTAGTAAAATGTATCAGTATTGAGATGTACTTATAAAAAGTTCCTAAAAAAAAATGTACTTTTTTATCTTTCACTTTTATGTTGCTATGCCATAAATAGAACTTGTTACTGCTGCCGTCACGACCTCGTAACGTTTCATAATCTTCCAAGGAGATAGACGGTGACATAAATCCTTACGTGTATCGTGATCTATGACGCCTATGCACCATCTGTCACTCAAGGAACAGGATTTCCATAATACAGTCTTCAACAGACGGTTTTTCTCATGACGAATTTTTGGTCACGAATTTCGTGACGGGATGTCGCAAATGACAAAAAAATTCGACTCCTTCTATTCGAAATTATTCCCAGCAACGAGAAATAGAATAAAACAATTTCATTGAAGATAAAATAATGTGTCACGTATTTGATAAAATAATGTGTCACATTTGATGACTTTCGTCTTGAAAACAAACCTGTTCCTGATGAAGGAAATAACCGACAACAGCAATTAAAAAATTAAAAAATTATACAATTCCGTCGTCTAAGTGGTCAGGAAGGTGTTCTTTTTTCGAACGACAGCTATTAACACGATTCACTCGAAATAGAATTAACCGGATCGAGAGGCTAAAATGTAATAACGTTACTGGGAGACAGGAAGTTCGTTTAAACCTGTAGACATTGTCAGGTTCAGTGTTTCACAGACGCGATCGGGCTATAATCCTCAGTCAGAAGATCGACGTACCGTAGTCACGAATCTAACAGAATCACGTTTAAATATTCTAACATCTGACACTTTCCATTCCATTACGCCGTCATATGACTCCTCATATTCTCAGAATTCCATGTTTTAAATATCAATCATTCTTCCTCTTATTTTTTACCGTAATTTTTAGTACGTTCATTTAATTTTACATTATTAATTAGAAATTCAAAATTAAGTTGGCGACGTTATACATTTTTGATGTTGAGTTGACAGAAAATCATATTGGTACGATATTCCATTGTATTATTTTGGTAAGATAGCATCTTGTATTACTAGATTCCTATACGTATATCAGCTTTTGATCCTACGCGGTACATGATCGTAACCGCTTACGAGGTTTAGCCTCGTAAAGCTGAACGCCACCGCATCACGGTAACGTAGCGTTTGTACAAACACTTACTGTAAACACGCTTATAGGATGTAAGGAACTCATAAAATTCTAGGCGACAATGCCAATCTTCGTTGTATTGTAAGAATCGATAAACATTTTTCCAGAATTTCTTGAAGATATCAGTTTTCTTATTTGCAAATAAAATAAACTTGTCTC